CTCAAATAAAAAAAATGGCGGAATGTGGGTCCAGCCAGATCCATGTGATTCTGGGCTGGGCTCTTCCCAGCTGTTGTATCTTCCTCCCAGCTCAGCTCCTTTTCAACCATACAAGCCTTATGTGTTCTCAGCTGTGGAAGAGGGGTGGCAGCTGTGCCTCCCCTGTGGGGTTATTGTTCATACTAAGGGAGACAGTGCAATTAAATGATTTCTGCATGGAGTCTGGCACATGGTGAGTTCTTGGTGAATGGCACCACCATCATCGCCATTGTTACTAGTACTAGCTGGAAACCACCTGAGTGATGGATCATCCAATCCAGTCCCCTTGTATAGATGGGGAGTCTGGGGTCAGTGGATCACAGCTGGTCAGAAATCCTCATGAGGCTGAGGCCTACCAATGCCAGCCTCCTCACCACCCCAAGTGGGGCTTCCAGGTGGCATTAAATAGCTCTGTGTTCCAGCTGCCCAAGGTGCAGCACAGGCAGCTGCAGCACCAAGAGTTCCTATAGGTGCAGCTGGCTGTCCTGCACAGAGAATTTGCCCTGCTTAGGTTGGAGACCCCTCGAGCATGCCAGCCCCCCCAAGTCCTGGGCACCCTGGCACCCATAGGGACATCACCGCCTTCCTGAATGTGGTGTCAGAGCCCCAGCCGGAAGCCCAGCTCACACACGCCTCTTTACCCAACTTAAACGCAAGTTTAAGTAGAAACTTAAGCAGGGGCCCAGTCTGGACGCTGATATCCAAACCCCAATCCCAGGGAGCATATAATCCCATGCTGATAGGGGTGGGGAGGGTCCCAGAGTCCCATCACCAGTTTTGTGGTGGGGCATCCCAGGATGCCCCAGTTCCAAGATGCCCCCTTACCAAAGTACCTGATTTTTATGTCAGATGTTGGGTTTCCTTTTGTTTGGCCCGTGGGTTGGCAGGTAACTGCAGCCTTTTGTCATTAGTGCTAGCTTAGGGAAAGTCTGTCCTCCTCCAGCTGCTGATAGCTACAGGGCGCTAAGGAAAGCTGGACTCTGAGCAGGTCCCGTTGGGAGGACCTGATGCTGATGGGTTTGGAGGCCTTGGGCACTATGGACCTGCCTCTTCTGAATCAAAGCATCTCCCCCCTTACTTAGGGTTCAAGCAGAGAAACAGACCCCAGGACGTGCAGAGGAAGGGATTTGTCCTGGGTGTTCAAATTTACATGATTGTGGGAGCTGCTCAGGCAGTTTTAGGAAGGCTGTTGCCCTTGAGTGTGATGCTGGAGCTCGAAGTCACAGGGTAGGCGATCTGGAGGGAAAAGAGATGGAGAGCGGGGGACAGCAAGAACATACTGGAATCCATTGGGCAGGAGCAGGAGCCCACGTGGATGGGCTGATGTCTGTGTCTGTTCTTGCTGCTGCTGTACTTGGTGTATCTGGGTGTGTTGAAGAAGCAAGGCCTTGCTCGTGGAGCTAAACACACACACACACACACACACACACACACACACACACACACACAGGGCCTGGGAGTTGGGGACACTGAAGGCTGATCGCAGGGAGGGTGGAGCCGTTGAAGACCTGCCTTGGCTTCATACCCACACAGTGAGCCTGTCACTCAGCTTCCATGCATGCGAGATACACAGACAGCTGTTGTTTCACTTCTTTTTTTTTTTTTTTTTTTGAGACAGAGTCTCGCTTTGTTGTCCAGGCTAGAGTGAGTGCCGTGGCGTCAGCCTAGCTCACAGCAACCTCAAACTCCTGGGCTCGAGTGATCCTTCTGCCTCAGCCTCCCGAGTAGCTGGGACTACAGGCATGCGCCACCATGCTCGGCTAATTTTTATATATATATATATATCAGTTGGCCAATTGATTTCTTTCTATTTATAGTAGAGACGGGGTCTCGCTCTTGCTCAGGCTGGTTTTGAACTCCTGACCTTGAGCAATCCGCCCGCCTCGGCCTCCCAAGAGCTAGGATTACAGGCGTGAGCCACAGCGCCCGGCCCTGTTGTTTCACTTCTGCCCCCGAATCTTGCACATGAATCTCCCTCTGCAGCCCAGCCAGGGAATGGCATTCTGAGAAATGTTGTTCAGCCTAGCCAAAGCAACTCTACAAATCCACCCCAGCACCGAAGCCTCTATCGCAATCTTTCCGTTTATGTGGATTTCTCAGTTGCCTTCCGTCCTGCTGCCCTCCGTAACTACCCTTAGCAGTTAGGGAAAAGAGCGTGGGCCCTGGAGGCCCACAGACCTGGGCTCAGACTCTTCATCTACTATTTACTAACTGAGCTTTATGCCTCAGTTTCTCCACCTGTAACGTGGGCATGGTAATACACAGTTTGTAGAGGTTAACATAAGTATTAAAGATACTTTAAAGCATATAAGATACCCAGGATGGTATGTTTCGGTAACCTAGTTAGTTTTAACCTGAAGAAAGCATAATTGATAAATTGAATCTGTACTTAATAAAATTATAATTGCATTGTAATTTCTATGCATATAGGTAATCCATCTAGGTAGATAAATATATGTATACACACATGCACAGTAAACTCTTACCCAGCCTGCTGAGTGCAGGCTGCTCAGTTAGACAGATTTGCTGGTTAATAAGAGTCAGCAAATGTTCTCATCAAATCTTAGAGCTCTGGAAGGATCTACAGAGATTTTCTAGGATACAAGTTCCTAACCTGGTTTTCAAAAACCTGTAAATGCCCAAATTCTGATTTCTCAGAGAAAAAGAATGTCTTAGTCCATTTTGTGCTGCTATAACAGAATACCTGAGACTGATAACTTACAAGGAACAGAAATTTATTTTCTCACAGTTTTGGAGGCTGGAAAGTACAACATCAAGGTGCTAGCATCTGGCAAGAGAGTGAGAAAGAGCACAAAAGGAGGCTGAACTTGCTGTTTTATAATAGCACCAGTCCCACCTGTGAGAATAAACGCTGACAACCTAATCACCTCTTAAAGGTCCCACCTCTTTTTTTTTTTTTTGAGACAGAGTCTCACTTTGTTGCTCAGGCTAGAGTGAGTGCCATGGCATCAGCCTAGCTCACAGCAACCTCAAACTCCTGGGCTCAAGCGATCCTCCTGCCTCAGCCTCCGGAGTAGCTGGGACTACAGGCATGCACCACCATGCCCGGCTAATTTTTTCTGTAATAATATTTATTGGTCATAATTTCTTTCTGTTTTTAGAGAGACGGAGTCTTGCTCAGGCGGTTCCACTCCTTGCCTTGAACGATCTCTTGCCTGGGCTCCCAGAGTGCTAGATACAGGTGTGAGCCACCGCACCTGGCCTGAGACCATAGTTCTTATTAGATTCTTGAAGGGGCTTCTCTGTGATGCTTAAAAGGTTACCAAGTGACCTAATACAACCCTTTCATTTTAAAGATCTTTAATCTTTACATATATGTCAATCTTTCATTTTATGGCAGGCAGAATTCTAAAATGACCCTTGTCTAATTCCCTTCCCTTTGAGTGTGGGTGGAACCTTCGAACAGAATGAGATATAGACCGGGTGTGGTGGCTCACGCCTGTAATCCTAGCACTCTGGGAGGCTGAAGGCGGGGGATTGCTCAAGGTCAGGAGTTCGAAACCAGCCTGAGCAAGAGCTGAGCATGGTGGCACATGCCTGTAGTCCCAGCTATTCAGGAGGCTGAGGCAGGAGGATTGCTTTGAGCCAGGAGTTGAGGTTGCTGTGAGCTAGGCTGATGCCATGGCACTCTAGCTCAGTCAACAGAGTGAGACTCTGTCTCAAAAAAAAAAAAAAAAAGGTAGTTTATCCAGGTGCACCCAACCGAATTACATAGGCCCTTCCTTTAAAGGCAAAGTGTTTGCTTCAGCTGGTAGCAGAAGAGGAAGTGTAGAAGTGGAAGCATGAGAGGCATTTGATGAAGGGGCCATGGCGCAAGGACCTGAGGGTCGCCTCACAGGGGTACCTGGCTGCTAGCTGGCAGGAGACCTCAGGCTAAGAACCACAAGGAAATGAGACATTCCACAATCAGTGAGCTCAGGGGAGAACCCAGAGAAGGTAGGAGCACTGGCTAACACCTTGTTTTCAGCCCAAAGAACAAAGAACCTAATCATGCCATGTTGAACTTCTGGCCTACAGTACTGTGAACCAATACATGAATGTTATTTATTTATTTTTTTTTGAGACAGAGTCTCACTTTGTTGCCCAGGCTTGAGTGAGTGCCATGGCATCAGCCTAGCTCACAGCAACCTCAAACTCCTGGGCTCAAGCAATCCTTCTGCCTCAGCCTCCTGAGTAGCTGGGACTACAGGCATGTGCCACCATGCCCGGCTAGTTTATTCTATACATATTAGTTGGCCAATTAATTTCTTTCTATTTATAGTAGAGACGGGGTCTTGCTCTTGCTCAGGCTGGTTTTGAACTCCTGACCTCAAGCAGTCTGCCCACCTTGGCCTCCCAGAATGCTAGGATTACAGGCGTGAGCCACCGTGCCCAGCCCATGAATGTTATTTTAATCTGCTAAGTTTATAATAATTTATTACACAACAATAGGAAACAAATATAGATTTGCTGTGAGGTTGTCATATGTTTATTATTTTAATCCTATAGAAAAGTTATTTAATATAGCAGTTCCACTTTATGGATGAAGTGGCCCAGAGAAGTACAGCATCCCTCTCAAGATCAAATAGCCATTTAATTCTGGGAGAGCCCCAGAAGCAGGCCCGTGAATTCCTGGACAGGGCTCCTGGCTGCTCCCAGTCTGCCATTAGGATTTTCATAAGGGTTGAAAGGTAACAAAGGGTACCTATGACTCAAATGTACTGGAATGTGGATTTGTCATTCTCCAGTGATTCTTGGTCGGGCATAGCCCAAACCGCTGCCTTCATGGTCTGGACATGGAAGATGTCAGTGGCAGGATGGGGACTGCCTACCTACGGACACAACCAGGGAGATGCTATAAATGCAAATCAACAATTTTATTTGTAAAGTTTTTTGGTTTTGTCTCTAAGTTTTAATTTATTCTGATAAATAATTTAGTCAAATGGTTTAATGTTTTACAGATTCACCTCTGTCCACCAAGAAGGCCTAGAAGCAATCACACCCCATAGCAATGAGCACACCACACTCTCAGCTCTTGGTTTCTAACTATCATTCTCCACGAAAAGTAAGCAGGGGCTATTTGGAAGAATGGTTGACTTCCGTGCTACAGCAGGAAGCATACAAGATGAACCTGGACCTTTAGTACTTTTTAAGTACTTAAAAGGTACTGAAAAATACTGAAGTATGGAAGATAAACCTGGAAATACTTAAAAGAAATGATGAAGGCTTGTTGAAAGGAGCCAGCCAGAAGAAATTCCCAATGGTCAAAGCTGGAACAAATGAGAGTGAAAAAAATAATGATAGAGTTGGATTATAACTAAGAATAAAATATTCATGAGTTCATATGGATATAAATAAATAATTGAGTAAATGAATTAATGGGCAAGAAGAAGCAACTCTTACCTCCAGTAGAATTACAATTAGTAAATGTAGAAGGAATGAGGGAAATAGAAAATCATCATTAGGCATACACCACAGTAATAGTTGTTGCAGGCAAGAACCACTGAAGAATGCTAAAATTAGGGGACAAAATATGATAAGGAATAGGATTTTTCATAGTCTCGCAATGTCTCCCCACAAGACATTTATTAGTTACAAAGCAAATGTGACAACTTTACACTGGAGAAACATGGCAGATGCCACCTCAACAAAGTGACTATTGTTGACATCACAAGTAATAAGAAATCAGATATTGTGGCCAGACGTGGTGGCTCACACCTGTAATCCTAGCATTCTGGGAGGCCGAGGTGGGTAGATTGTTTAAGCCCAGGAGTTGGAGACCAGCCTGAGTAAGAGCAAGACCCCATCTCTACTAAAAATAGAAAGAAATTAATTGGCCATCTAAAAATATATAGAAAAAACTAGCCGGGCATGGTGGCGCATGCCTGTAGTCCCAGCTACTCGGGAGGCTGAGGCAGGAGGATTGCTTGAGCCCAGGAGTTGGAGGTTGCTGTGAGCTAGGCTGATGCCATGGCACTCTAGCCTGGACAACACAGTGAGACTCTGTGTCAAAAAAAAAAAAGAAAGAAAGAAATCAAGTATTGAGTATCCTTTAATATGATGCGTTGAGAAGGGCACATACGTCACTTTTGTGGTACTGCCAAAAATGCCTAAAATTGAAGAATCAAACTGAGACTGAGAAACTATCACATACCAGAGGAAACTGCTATGGTTTGAAGGTGTCCTCCCCTCAAAGTTCGTGCGTTGGAAACTTAATCTCCAGTGCAACAGTGTTGGGAGGTGGGACTTAATGAGAGATGTTTAGGTCATGAGGGCTCCACCATCATGACTGCGTTCATGTCAACTATAAGAGTGCTCAAAGCTACAAGTTTGATCTCTTGCTTTTGCTCTCTTGTCTACGTTACGCCTTCTGCCATGTTATGATGCAGCCCCCCAATCTTGGACTTCCAGCCTCCAGAACCATGAGCCAAATACATTTCTGTCCTTTATAAATGACCCAGTCTGTGGTGTTCTGTTATGGCAGCAGAAAATGGACTAAGACAGAGACTACAGAGACAGGATGAGGAAATGCAATGGGGATCCTAAAACAGAAAAAGGAAATGAGTGTGAAAACTGGGAAAATTTGAATAAAGTCTATACTTTAGTTAATAGTATTTTATCAATGGTTTTGATTCCTGGTTAGGAAAGATGCTAACATTAGGGGAATCTGGGTGAGGAATAGATGGGAACTCTTTCTACTATTTTTTGTAACTTTTCTGTAAGTCTGAAATTATTGCAAAAAAAAAAAAATAAAAAGTTTAACATAAATTTACAGATTCCAAAGAAAATGTAGTGAAACTCTCCTTCCTTCCCCTGATCTTCAGCCACCCAGGTCCCTTCCCCCCAGGAGATCAATGCTATCAGTTCCCTCTGTTTCCTTCCAGATTAGTCTATGTATATGCAGCAAACAGTATTGATTGTTAACTACATTGTTTTTCTAAGTTTGTCATATCGGCCTCTGACTTTCGCATTCCTGAAATGCCTGGTGATCCTTGGCTGCTTCCTCACTTTAAGGGTGGGGCACTAATAAATGAGTGACAGCTCTGGACATGAGGTGGGCTTGTCCTCTGTGGTCCTCACTGCTGGGGATCCCTGTTTCCTCCCTCTTTTGACTGTGACACTTCTACCTCTGCTATGCTGGTGCACGTGGTCCAGGGCCCTCTGTTCCACCCTCTTAGAGTGAACCTCAGCCTTCTGCTGGAGTGAGGGGCAGAGTTAGTTGCCCGGCAATCAGGGTGGGGGAAGGAACTGAGGGTATCTAACTCCTTTTCAGATTTTAAATCGATCCTTGAAATTTTGGTCCATTCTTCACCCCCTACTTCTGGTGCCACCAGGTCCTGAATCTTTGGGATTCTGTATAAATTGGGTTGCTTTTTGGCTTCCTTCCTTGTGGCTTAGGATTCAGCTAAGTCAGTCACCTCTCATTCATCTGCTTTGCCACCTCTGGTATTGTCACTATTGTCTTTTTTCTTCTTCTCACTGCTCTTCTAGATGTATACCTTAAAAAAATCCCTTTAACCACAAGATACCATTTCACACCCATTAGGATGGCTATTTAAAAACAAAACAATAAACCCCCATGTATGGTGTATTTAATGCTGTAGAACTGTACACTTAAAATCTTAAAATGATAAATCTTATGTATATTTTATCATGAAAAAATTCCTCTACTGTTGTTTTAGTGAGATTTCAGAAGGGAGTGGAATTACATGAACATGCTGAATTCAGCAATTACTCAGAAGTCTCAGGCATTATTTAAAAAAGAGGATAGGCAGGGCGTGGTGGCTCGTGCCTACAATCCTAACACTCTGGGAGGCTGAGGAGGGAGGATTGCTTAAACTCAGGAGTTCGAGGCCAGAATGAGACTCTGTCTCAAAAAATAAATAAATAAAAAAGATTTTATTTGCTGATGTGGGATCAGTTTTCTGGTTTGATTATTGATTTCTAGTTCTTTAGATTGCAGTCAAAGAATCATATAAATGACTACTATATGGCAGTTTATTGACATACTTTTTGTGCCCTAGTTTATGGCTTTTAATAATCACAACCACAACTGTTTAGTGCTTACTAGGGGTTGTTCTAACAACATTATCTACCTAGAAAACATCTAGTTTCTCTCTCTCTCTCTTTTTTGAGACAGAGTCTTACTGTGTTGCCTAGGCTAGAATGAGTGCCGTGGCATCAGCCTAGCTCACAGCAACCTCAAACTCCTGGGCTCAAGCAATCCTCCTGCCTCAGCCTCCCGAGTAGCTGGGACTACAGGCATGCACCACCATGCCCGGCTAATTTTTTCTATATATATTAGTTAGGCAATTAATTTCTTTCTATTTATAGTAGAGACGGAGTCTTGCTCTTGCTCAGGCTGGTTTCCAAGTTCTGACCTCGAGCAATCCGCCCGCCTCAGCCTCCCAGAGTGCTAGGATTACAGGCGTGAGCCACCGCGCCCGGCCTTCTCTCCTTTTTTCTTTTTTTGAGACAGAGTCATCGTAGTTCACTGCAGCCTCAAACTCCTGGGTTCAAGTGACCCTCCTGCCTCAGCCTCACAAGTAGCTGGGACTACAGGCACGTGCCACCACGGCTGGTTAATTTTTAAATTTTTAGTAGAGATGGGATCTTGCTCTTGCTCAGGCTGGTCTTGAACTTCTGAGCTGCTCAAGCAATCTTCCTGCCTCAGCCTCCCAGAGTTCTAAGGTTACAGGTGTGAGCCACCACGCCTGGCCTATAAGTGTCTCTTGGTGTCTGTAAAAAGTAGGGTATTAGTCCCATTTTGTAGAGGAAGCTGAGGCTCAAAAATGCAAAGTAATATGCTCGTGGACACATAACCAGGAAGTGGCTGAGCTGGACGAATGTTAATACAGACAGTAGCTCCCATTTAAGGAGGACTTAAAGGTGCCAGGTGCTGTACACAAGTTCTACAATTAAATCTCTTTACAACCTAGCAAGGAAGCACCATCGGCTTGTCATAACAGAATACCTGAGACTGAGTAGTTTATATAATAAACAGAAATGTATTTGGCTCACAGTTCTTGGGGCTGAAAGAAGTCCAGGGAGCTGGCACTAGCATTTGGTGAGCATCTGGGCAGGGCCTTGTTGCATAATCCCATGGTGGGAGGCAGGAGGGGGGGAGAGAGCAGGAGATCTAACTGGAAGCCTTGAGCCCTTCTGTAATTGACGTTAATCCATTCATGAGGCTGGAGTGCACGTGACCTAAACGCCTCCCATTAGGCCCCGCCTCCCAGCACTGCTGCAGTGGGGATTAAGTGTCCCACAAATGCTTTTTGGGGCACACATTCAAACCATAGCAAGCCCCACTTTCCAGATTGGAAATTGAGGTTCCACAGCTGGAGATTCGAGCCTCGGTGGCAGTTCAGAACCTGTGCCTTTTGATTACATCAGCGGAGGGTAGTTTAGCTCTGAGGCACCTAAGAGCCCAGCTACTCGGGAGGCTGAGGTAGGAGAATCACTTGAGTTCAGAGGTTCGAATCCAGCCTGGGCAACCCAGCGAGACCTGCACCCCCTTCCCCAAATTAAAAAATAATAATTTTTTAAAAAGAGGCAGCCTATGGTGGTAGAACCAAGAGAGGCTGAGCAGAATTTGCTCCTAGGAAGACCAGGGTGGTGTGCTGAGGCCCCTCTACCCTAGGGGCTGTGCCAGGCCTGGCCGGGAGGGAAGGATATGGAGCAGGTGGGGGCTGGCGTTGCTAGTGAGGCTGTGGACAAAGTCGCCTCCTGCCTCCTTCCAGAAAGGATCTGAGGCAAGGTTTAGAGATTTTTAGGATAAAAATAACAAAAACCAGCAAGCAGAGACTGGAGTAGAAGAATAGTAATCACATAGGAAGAAGAGTCTAGAAAGTTTGGGATACAGCAAGGCGCACTGCAGGGCTGGTGCAACGATTACATTTGCAGGGAGTTAATGGCACCCGTGCGCCCTCTGGTGGGCACAGGGGGAAAGAACACAATGTGTTCCGCCTATACTTCTCACGCACCCATTGTGGGTAGGGTAAGAAGCACTGTGTTCTGAGATTCTGCAAGTCAGAGAGGGGAAGGGACTTGCTGAAGGTTACACAGCATCACCGGCAGGTCCTGGGTCATTCCACGGCTCCGCAGGAGCTCCCAGCCTCCCTCTGACTGGATGAAACCTCAGGAGGTAGGTAGGGATGTGGGGGGTGGGGGGAGCACGTCCCTGCGCTGATCAGCCCTGGCCTTGACTCCCAGCTCAGCACGCTGCTGCCATGTGAAGTTACAGAAGTCCCTTAACTTCTCAGGGTTTCAGTGTCCTTATCTGTAAAATGGGTTTATCGTAGCACCCACCTCTTGAGAACGGTGAGAGTTAAACGGAGTGCTGGATGTCACAGGCAGACAATGGTGCTTGGCCCATGTTGAGGGGAGAGTTCTCAGGGAGGAGAAACTGAGGCCCAAAGAGGGGGACAGCCCTGTCCAACATCATCAGTCAGCTCAATAGGGCAGGATAGGAAATGAGTAGGGCTTGGAGAAAAGTTTGAAATCTTCTTTCTCCAACTAGAGGATGTTATTGTGAGTAAGGGTGTTTTTGTTGAGGGAAGTCAGTTCTCTTTCTCTCTCTCCAGGTAGGCTTGGCCATCATTGGCTCTGCCTCACCCGTCCTGGGGCCAGGAGCTCCTCTTGGGCCTGGGGGCTCAGAGGAGGCCAGAGCGGGCCGCACATGTCCCAAGAAGTCCCCTTAGAGGCTCTCCCTTCCTCATTTCTGTCTCCCAACTCTGCAAGCTGTAACCATCCAGCCTTTGGCATTGAGCTGTGCCTCCTCTAATTAGTATTACATGTTCAGCTCTCCTACCAGGCTGAGCTGTGGGATAGGAGGTCCAGAACCTTGGGGAATAGAAGAGAAATCAGTCTGCCCGCTGGCCTTTTTCTTATCTCCATTTGGAGATAGTCATGGGAGAGTTCAGTGAGTTACTATGTAGAAGAGCCCCACATAGTGCCTGGTTCATGGTGAGTATTAGTAGAATCCTCATTCTTCATGGCCCAGGCTGAATATCACCTCCTCCAGGAAGCTTTCCCTGACTTTGCCAGGGTAAGTTTGGTGCCTGAGCATCCTTGGTCCTGTGCATCCTTGGTCCTTCTGATCACTTGGAGTTATAATTGTTCCTGTATTTGTCTTTGTCCCATACTTAACAGTGAGCCCCAAGGAGGGATTGTGCCACACCTGGTTCATTGGTGTATCCCCAGTATGGCTGGCGCAGGTAGGTAGGAGTGACAAATCTATTTTATTTTATTTTTTTTTAATTTTTTTTTTCTTTTCTTTTTTTTTTTTGAGACAGAGTCTCACTTTGTTGCCCAGGCTAGAGTGAGTGCCGTGGCGTCAGCCTGGCTCACAGCAACCTCAATCTCCGGGGCTCAGCGATCCTACTGCCTCAGCCTCCCGAGTAGCTGGGACTACAGGCATGCGCCACCATGCCCGGCTAATTTTTTGTATATATATTTTTAGTTGGTCAATTAATTTCTTTCTATTTTTGGTAGAGACGGGGTTTCGAACCAGGCTGGTTTCGAACTCCTGACCTTGAGCAATCCGCCCGCCTCGGCCTCCCAAAGTGCTAGGATTACAGGCGTGAGCCACCACGCCCGGCCTGACAAATCTATTTTAGATGAATGGGGGGGATTGATGAGAGCTGGTGCTCCAGGGCCAGGCCTTCAGCCCTGCCACTCATGTGCTGTTTGATGTAAGCTCTCAGAGTCGCAGTCCCCCTACCCCAGATGAAATGGAGCTAAAACAGCCCTTACTTAACAGGGCCGATGTAAGGAGCAAATGAGAACTGTACAACGCCTGGCATGTCATAGGTGCTGCATGAACATTCACTGTTGTTCCGGAAGTTCCATATTAAATACCCACAACTTGTCCAGGCCTCCCATGGTCCCTCCAACCCAAGGGAACTTCAGTCCTTGCTCTGGACTCTCACAGCCCCCAGCATGTGCCCTATCACAGCACCAGCCACACCTGTGTCTGCTGCTCTTTCACCCTCCCCAGATAAACAGTAGGTCCAGCAAGGGCAGGGCCTTTGCCTCACCCATCTGACTATCCAGCCCTCAGCCCAGGGCCTGGTTCAGAGTAGGGCTTGGGAAATGCTTTCTGAAGGACTCAGACGCCTGGCTCCCTTGCACGGAGGTCCTGCCCAGCCTTCCTGCCTCTTCCCTGGATTGCCCTGTCCTTCCCTCTCAGCGTTCGCAACTCTTTTCTGTTTTAGCAAGACATGGACCAAACGCAATCTTCCCCAGGAAGTCATTCCTGAGCAGCTCGGTGGTGTGACCTTTGTCTCCCTGGAAATCCTAAAGCTCTAACCGCTTCTATCACTAACTTGCCACTTGCACACAGGCTCTCCAGCTTGGTACCTTTCAGGTTTGTTGTTTTGTTTTGTTGGATAATTCTTCTCTTTCCATGTTATTATATTCCCAGTGAAATTTTGTTTTCTAGTAAGGCTGAAGGCATTTACCAACATTTATCATCAGGGAAAGGCAGTTCCTCTCCTGACAGCTGTACATAACTCACACAGCACGCACATGCATATAAAATTATTCTAGGTGCACAGAGGGAAGGTCATGTGGGGACACAGCAAGAGAGTGGCCATCTGCAAGCCAAGGAGTGGCCTCAGAGGAAACCAACCCTACTGGCACCTTGTTCTTAGACTTCCAGCCTCCAGAACTGTGAGAAAATAAATTTCTGTTATTGAAGCCAAAACCAAAAATTATTCTATTTGTTCCCTGCTTACTTCAAAAAAGGATTTAAAAACAGAATAAGGTTTATAATTTAGATAATGATATTTTACCAATGCCAATTTCCTGGTTGTCATACTATAGGTATATGAAATGTCACCATGGAGGGAGGCTGAGTGAAGGATACATAAGACTCTATTTTTGTACTACTTTTGCAATTTCCTGTAAGTCTATAATTATTTCAAAATAAAAATGGCTTAAAGGGCTTGAGGCTGATTAAATATATAAAATTTTATTAAATAGTAAGACAATAATATCTAATTAGATAACACATACAGACTTGGCTGTGCAAGCTTATTTATTAGTAAGTGTTTATAATATTAAAAAAGATTGGGCCGAGCGCGCGGTGGCTCACCCCTGTAATCCTAACACTCTGGGAGGCCAAGGCGGGTGGATCACTCAATGTCAGGAGTTCGAAACCAGCCTGAGCAAGAGTGAGACCCCATCTCTACCAAAAATAGAAAGAAATTAATTGGCCAACTAAAAATATATAGAAAAAATTAGCCGGGCATTGCGGTGCGTGCCTGTAGTCCCAGCTACTCGGGAGGCTGAGGCAGGAGGCTTGCTTGAGCCCAAGAGTTTGAGGTTGCCGTGAGCTGGGATGACACCACAGCACTCTACCCAGGCAACAGAGTGAGACTTTGTCTCAAAAAAAAGAGATTTATAACAACCTAAATGCACAACCTTAGAGGATTGTTTTTGAGAATAGCAATACCGTGCATACAATGGAAGACTATGTAGATACTAGAAAGCAACAAATAGAAATGTATTTATTATTTTGGGAAAGTTTTGCCAATATCTTGATGAGTTAAAAATACCAAATGAGGCCAAGCATGGTGGCTCACGCCTGTAATCCTAGCACTCTGGGAGGCTGAGGCGGGAGGATCGCTCAAGGTCAGGAGTTTGAAACCAACCTGAGCAAGAGCAAGACCTCATCTCTACCAAAAATAGAAAGAAATTAATTGGCCAACTAAAATATAATAGAAAAAATTAGCCAGGCATGGTGGCACATGCCTGTAGTCCCAGCTACTTGGAGGCTGAGGCAGAAGGATTGCTTGAGTCCAGGAGTTGGAGGTTGCTGTGAGCTAGGCTGACGCCACGGCACTCTAACCCAGGCAACAGAGTGAGACTCTGTCTCAAAAAAAATAAATAAATAAAACACAAATAAAAATGCCAAATGATATATCTAGTCTGGAAGAATATTTATCAAAATATTAAAAGTGAATGTCTCATGGCAGTGGGATTGCAGAAGATTTTTTTATCTTTCTTTTTGCTTACTAGTATATTTCCATTTCTCTACAATGCAAATATTATTTGTTCAGTGGAATATTTAAAGAGTAGAGATTATATGATGTTTTGAAGGGGATGATCAGAAAAAGGAGGAGAAAGTGAAGTGGCTGTAGCCATTGAGCTCCTGACAGATCCAGCAAAAGGGGAAATAGGACATGACGAAGTTCCCCTTGGATAAAAGTTCCTTGGAGGGTCTGACGTTTTCTTCTAGGACGCGTAATTCCCAAAGGGCAGCACCGAAGCAGTTTAGCTTCAAACTAGCAGAGGAGCTTCCAGCTTCCGTCTAGCGTTTGACTGGGCTTAAAGCTCTGGTTTCCACTCGTCCATTCATAGGGTGAGTGACCTTGAGCAAAACTCTGTCCCTCTCAGAGGCTCAGTTTCCCAGTCTATAACATAAAAGGAGACGGACCTCAAAGTCTCCACGACCTTTTCCGGCTCCGTCACGCTAAACTACTTAGCAGTAGGCTGGCTGGCTTTTCCAAGCGCTCTGCGGGAGACAGCCTCGGAGCGGCGCCCTAGTTGCCGAGGGGTTAATGTCGGTCGGCCCCGCCCCTTTCTGGCCCCGCCCCCACGAGTACCACCCCCGCCCGGGTTGTACCCTTGACCCCGCCCCCAGGCCGTGCGTCCACCGGAAGTGCCCGCGCGCGGGCAGCTCACTTCCGCCCGGCAGGTGACAGCCGCGGGGCTCGGAGCGGCGAGCAGCGCGGACGCACCGGGAGAGCGGGAGGAGAAGGCCGCGGACATTTTGCTGCCGAACCGAACCGAGCCCTGGCGTCAGGAGCTGTTCGGACCTGCGGGTGAGGGAGCAGGGAGCCCCGCGAGGCAGGAGAAGAAGTGGGGCGGGGAGTCGGGGGTCTGAGGTGAGGTGTTTTTGGGGTCAGAGGTCATGAAGGACGCGGCGCTAGAGGGGCGCGAGCTGCGTTCCCGGCCCGGACGAGGTGGAATTGCTGCGGGTTCATTCATTCGCGCCCACTTGGCCGCCGGCCCGCTCCCCGGACGCCTCAGGTCCGCAGTCCCTGCTGGGGCTCCCGCCCAGAGAGACTTCTAGACTTAGGCCCCTAGGAGCCCGCCCCTGCCCGGAGGGAAAACTCTTTGGGCTCTGGTTTCCCCCTTTACACTCACCCCTGTGGCCATCTGAGGCCTCCTTGTTGTTCAGGCCTTATCTCTTTGCCAAGGTTCAAAAAGAAAAAAAAAATCAAGAAACGGCTAGACGCCACCTGCACCCGGGTAGGCTTGCGCTTGGTCTGCCTGTTGGAGCCTCAGGGACAAGTTGACTGAATGGGGACACCTATAATAATGCTAAAATATACCGAGGAAGGTGCTAGCTGCTGGTTATTGAGTCCCTACTGTGTACCTGACACTGTGCTAAACACTTTACTTACAATGCCATGTTGAAGCCTCACAGCAACCCTTGTGAGGTAGCTACTTTAGTTATCCCCATTTTATCGACAAGGACACCAAGGCACAGAGAGCTTAAATCACACATGTAAGGTCAATCTGGTAGTAGAGGCAGGGCCAGGGTTCCTACCCAGGCTTTCAGGGACCTATGAAGTGCAGAGACAAAGGAGAGGCTGGAGCAGGGTTGAAGTGTAGGGGCTACTTAATATTTTTAGCTGCTGTTGTATTTATCTAGGTCTATGTCAAGATGTAGCCGTATTGCTTCTTGTTTGATCTCCATAAGCAGCGTTCAGTTCGCTTTCTTTAGGATGAAACAATCCTGCAGGCTGTTGCTGTAAGTGATTTACCTTTCAGGGCTAGAGTTTAAGGTTTTCCTGACTATAGGGAATTGTGAGGCACAAAACAGGATATCCATGAGGCTAAAGAAGAATATGCAGAACCTCACTTGAGAGTGGTTGAGCTGCATTCCTTTTGGTGTAAGGAGAGAGGAACCACATGACCCCTAGCGAATCTTTTGGCCCTTGGTTCTGGAAGAATCTTCCCAAGGGAAGGGTCTTGGCCTTTCTTAGAAATGTGCAGGCCCCATGACCTCTTGGCTGGGAAGAGCACATTTTGCCTGGGAGATAAGGAGATGGTTTGGTAGGAGGGCTAGGCTCTGTGAGTCCGAGCCTTATTCCTTTGTAGATATTCACTAGCTCCAATTCTGCCTCAGTTTCCCTGACAGCACAAGTTTCCCTGCCACCTTCCTACCCACTCCTGGGTGCTATAAGTCTTAATGAACTTGTGAAGGTTTCCACACGCTTCTGAAGAAAGCTGTGATATAAGTATTACTATAGTACCTTTTTAAAAAAAAACAAAAAAACTCTATGATCTGTTCTCCTAGTTCCATTGAATTCACAGAAACTTAATAGTGTCACCTTATCCCTATTCTTCCAAGGGAGGATTTGAGATAAAGCGACTTGTCACAGATGGTAGGAACATGAGGAGAGCTCAGAGCATCTGGCTCCCTGTCCTGAGTCGAGCCCAGCAGTCTCCTTCAACCTCTCAGAAACTGTTAAGAGGAGTAGCTTCAGTAGTTCTCAAAGTCTCGCATTCCTCAGAGGTTGTGTGGAGATCATCTGTTGAGTGTGAGTTGAGCAGAGGCTTCCCCTAGAGCTGCTTGAAGGGCTCAGAGGTATAATGGAAAGAGTACTGCCTGACTCCCTGTCAGTCAGCGCTGGGTTTGTCCCAGCTCAGCAGCTTCCCAGTAGTATGACCTGGATAATTTACTTAGTCTGGGCCTCCTTTACTTCAGCTCTAAAATAATGCTGGTGGTCAGTATTACCCTTATTACTCCCTGACCCCAATTTGTGCAGAGCCCATTATTGTGAGTGCCTTGATTGCCAGTTGATGCTAGCTGGAGGCTTGTGTCTGAGGAACGCTGTCAACCCTGGCTTGTGGGGTATTACTTCCTTCTGCAAACAGAGACCTTTATGTACTTAGGACTTCTACCCTTCTCGTTTCACTTCCTAAAAGTGGTTCAAAACAAGTTCAGTCCGTTGGTCCTACTGGATCTGGGCTTGGACTTTCATGTTTTTCTAGTCATCCTCTGTTGCATGTCTTAACTGCTTACTTCCTCAAACCTCCCGCCCGCCCCCCCATGTCTGGCACCAAAGCGTGACATGCTGACAGTAAGCGTGGCTTGGGTATGGGTTTTGCACTTTGGTGCATTTCTGAAAGTTGAAGGGGCATCTGTTCCTTGAAGATGTGTCTTTTTCTGAAGACAAGTCTTTTTGCCTAAGATAGATCATTGATATCACAGCCTAGAAATGATTTTTCTTTTCTTTATCTCTTCACACAGAGAGAAACAAATACTACACAGAGAAAATATCAACTGAACAGTTGGGGAGTCCTTTTTTAAAATCCAGCTTAAAAATCCATCAGTGGTTTTCTGTAGCCCTCAGGCTAAAACTTACATTACTTAGCCTGACATTCAAGGCCTTTTGGACTCTGTCCCCTGCCTGGTTCTCTCTCCTTATCTCTCCTACTCCACACTTCCACCTTCTCCCAAGCTCCATTCAACCTCAGCTGCTTGCCAGTTCTGCAAGCCCCAACTCTTTATACCTCTTGGTCTTTTCTTTGTGTTGTTCCCTCTACTTGAACACTATTTCGTCCTCTCTCCCCTCCCTTCTTTGCTGGACCACTGCTTGGTGCTTCCCCTCTGGTCATCACCCCCACATTGCAGGCCTCAGCTAGTTATCCTTCTTGACATCCTGTAGCAGTGATCACAGTGGGTTGTGATTGTTTGCTTGGCTGCCTTCTCTTAATAAGTAAATAGCTCTTAATCCTTGGCAAGGACTCATCTTAACTGTGTCTCCAGCACCTAGTGAGATGTCTGGCACATAGTTGGTGTTCAGTAAATGTTTAGTGAATGAACAAATGACTATTGCATTGAATTGTTAGGATTCCTTGATGCCTAAGGAATTCAAAGTGTTTTCTAGATGATCTCTTGTCAGGACATCCTCATGTCACTTCACAGAGACAGGGAGAAATTTGATCAGAGGGGAGATTAACTACTTTCAAACTGCACTTGCTACCATTAGCCAGCCACCACAGTGCCTCAGGACCTCCAGAGACCTGGGAGTTTGGTAGGGACCGGGGAGGTGGTAAACTCTCTCTCTCTGCGTAGTAGTAACAGTGGCTAACATTTATCAAGCACTTGGTAGGCTGGGCACTGCTAAGAGGTTTGTATATTGACTTGTTTTGGCCTCACAAATCCCTCAGGTATATAACATTGTAGTTCCCATTTACAGTCATGGTGTGGTTGTGCCTGTTGTGTTGTGTGGAGCCTGTGAGGCCCCCTGTCATACCTGCTGTGGCCACCTTCCCCTTCCCAACCCCTTGTTCTTAGAGTGTCTCCTGTTATACAATGGAGCCAAGGAGGGACTTGGCTGTGGTTCTGTACTCCCAACCCTCATGCTCATTGGGTGTTTAGCCTTGGGCTTAACCTCTGCCCTCTATCAGAAAGGTCTCTCTGAAGTTGGGAGGCCTCTCCTAGTTAAAGTAGCTTGTGGGCCAAGCACATTGGCTCACACCTGTAATCCTAGCACTCTGGGAGGCCGAGGTAGGCGGATTGCTCCAGGTCAGGAGTTCGAAACCAGCCTGAGCAAGAGCGAGACCCCGTCTCTACTATAAATAGAAGAAAATTAATTGGCCAACTAATATATATAGAAAAAATTAGCCGGACATGGTGGCACATGCCTGTAGTCCCAGCTACTTGGGAGGCTGAGGCAGTAGGATTGCTTGAGCCCAGGAGTTTGAGGTTGCTGTGAGCTAGGCTGACGCCACGGCACTTGTTCTAGCCTGGGCAACAAAGTGAGACTCTGTCTCAGAATAAATAAATAAAGTAGCTTGTGGCTGGTTGACTCCAGAAGGCCCAGAGTTCATTAGCACCAGGATGCCTTAGTCACTGACCCTCCAGGTTACCATCTGTCTCCCCTGTGGACTCTAAGTTGAAAGATGATAGATTTGGAGGTCAGGTCTCAAGCTTTAAAACCAAACCTTCAGTGTTCATTTTCAGCATTTCAATAGCCAAGTTCTGTGGAGGAGTAGACTTGGGTGGCCTGTACTTTTTACCACACCCTCCTTGCTTTTAGGATCTTAAGCATATTGGGAATGGAATGACAAAATTTCAGGACAGTCAGCTGCTGAGTTTGCTTCCGTGGTGGTCTGACCTCTAAGCGTTGGGTGGCTGTGTGCTGAGGCATGAAGAGCAGAGACTTCGTAAGTCCAGCGTTCATTTATTCAGTGTTTATTGAAGCCTGCTGGTGCCTGGCGCTGGGCTGTGCTGATAGGTAAACAAGCGAACATAGTTTCTGCATTTGGGTTGCTTACTTCATTCTAATGGGGGAGAGACAAAGAAGAAAAAGAAAACAAATGCAATGAGTAGAAAAACCAAGCCATGAGGCAAACAAAACACGTAACAGCCAGAGCCTGTTAAAATGTAAGTCAGATCTCAGGACTCCTCTGCTCCAAACCCTCCAGTGGCTCACTCAGAGTAAAAGTCAGAGTCCTTGTTTTTTTTTTTTTTTTTTGAGACAGAGTCTCGCTTTGTTGTCCAGGCTAGAGTGAGTGCCGTGGCGTCAGCATAGCTCACAGCAACCTCAAACTCCTGGGCTCGAGCGATCCTTCTGCCTCAGCCTCCCGAGTAGCTGGGACTACAGGCATGCGCCCATGCCCGGCTAATTTTTTTTTTATATATATATATCAGTTGGCCAATTAATTTCTTTCTATTTATAGTAGAGACGGGGTCTCGCTCTTGCTCAGGCTGGTTTTGAACTCCTGACCTTGAGCAATCCGCCCGCCTCGGCCTCCCAAGAGCTAGGATTACAGGCGTGAGCCACCGCGCCCGGCCTAGAGTCCTTGTTTTTGACTAAAAGGCCCTCTATTCTCCTCTGACCTCTTGACCCACTGCCCCTTACTTCCACATTCGCCTCCCTGCTGTTCCTCAGACATACCAGGCACACTCCCACCTTTGCACTGGCTGTTTCTTTTGCCTGGCAGGCTCTTCACCAGATGATGTCACCTGTCACCTTCTCAAGGAGGCCTTCTGGGATCACCTTAGTTAAATTTTAACCTCCCTTTCTCTCCTCTCCCCTCCCTATCCTCCTTCCCTGCTCTTTTTTCCTCCATAGCATTTATCACTAATCTGAGACACTGCATTCTGCTATGGTCTCTGTCCCTCATTAGGATGTAAGCTCCGTGAGGGGAAGTGTTTTTGTCTGTCTCATTCGCTGCTGCATCCCCAGCATGTAGAATCGTTTCTGGTACTTGGAAGATGCTCAGTAAATGGATGAATAAGAACACTGGGCTATGGGGCCAGAGAAGTACTTTAAGATAGCGCATGCAGGGAAGGTGTATTTGAAGTGATGTCACCTAAGCCGAGATTTGAAGGATAAGTTGGAGTTGCCAGGAGAAGATAATCTAGGCAAAAGGATCAGCAAGTGCAGGGGGAGTGAAGAGCTTGGCAGTCAGAGGAGCACAGAAGGCCTGGAGGCCACGGCCTGGCTGAGTTCACGTCATAGCCTGTGTCAAAACCCCCCACCTCCCACAGCTCTGTCAACTCTCTGAGCGGATGCCTGTTGAAGCAAGTGATGGTGACCTGGACTCACCGGGCATTTCTCCCACTGGAGATGTTGCCACATGATCTCCTACCCTTGCCCTTTCTTCTCTCTCTCATCACTTATTTACTTACCTTCCATGTATTGGCTGTAAATGGGCTGGGAGGCTGGCATTTTCTATTTCGGTATAGTCAAAACAGCTTGACAAGTGGAGCCAGATGTATCTTTGATTTAGGCAAACCCAGTGGATGGAACATTGGGAAGCTGCTCTCTAGCAGAGGTTGGTTTACAAAACATGAAATTTCTCCAAGAAGAGAGCTGAGCACTAGTCATTTAAATTGATTGAATACCTGCTGTTTGCCAAGTACCAGTCTAGGAGTTAGGAATAGAGCAGGGAACAAGATGGACAAAATCCTTGCCCTCATGGAATTTACATTGTGGAGGGAGAAAAAAATAGACAATGTAAGTACATTTTATAACGTGTAGGTAAGAAATACTTTGAAGGGGGGAAAAGAGGATTAGGAAGTGGTGGGGATTGGTTGGGTGTGTGTATACAATTTTAAATAAAGTGGTTAGCGCCAGGTGTGGTGGTTCACGCCTGTAATCCCAGGAATTTGGGAGGCTGAGATGGGAGAATCGCTTTTTTTTTTTTTAGAGACAGATTCTCACTTTGTTGCCCCGGCTAGAGAGAGTGCTGTGGCATCAGCCAAGCTCACAGCAACCTCAATCTCCTGGGCTTAAGTGATCCTACTGCCTCAGCCTCCCGAGTAGCTGGGTCTACAGGCATGCGCCACCATACCCGGCTAATTTTTTGTATATATATTTTTAGTTGGTCAATTAATTTCTTTCTCTTTTTAGTAGAGATGGGGTCTCGCTCAAGCTGGTTTTGAACTCCTGACCTTGAGCAATCCACCTGCCTCGGCCTCCCAGAGTGCTAGGATTACAGGCGTGAGCCACCATGCCCGGCCTGGGAGAATCACTTGAGCCCAGGAGTTTGAGACCAGCCTGGGTGACATAGTGAGACCCCATCTTTAATAAAATGAAAAATAATTAGCTGGGCATGGCAGCATGCAGCTATAGTCCCAGCTACTTCAGAGGCTGAAACAGGAGGATTACTTGAGCTCAGGAGTTTGAGCAGGGGTCTTCAAACTTTTTAAACAGGGGAGACAGTTCACTGTCTCTCAGACCATTGGAGGGCGGTTGGAGAGTGCGGCGCACATTCCACACATGCGCACTGTGGGCCTGGGACGAGTTGGCTGCTAAGCAGGACAGGCAGTGGCGGCAAAAACACCCAGCCGAAAAAAAAAAAAAAAACACCCAGCCGGATAAATGTCCTCGTCCTCAGCAAGCTACATGTGGCCCGCGGGCCGTAGTTTGAGGATGCCTGAGTTTGAGGCTACAGCGAGCCATAATCATGCCACTGCACTCCAGCCTGGGTGACAAGGTGAGACCCTGCCTCAAAAAATAAAACAGGCCGGGCGCTGTGGCTCACGCCTGTAATCCTAGCTCTTGGGAGGCCGAGGCGGGCGGATTGCTCAAGGTCAGGAGTTCAAAACCAGCCTGAGCAAGAGCGAGACCCCGTCTCTACTATAAACAGAAAGAAATTAATTGGCCAACTGATATATATATAAAAATGAGCCGGGCATGGTGGCGCATGCCTGTAGTCCCAGCTACTCGGGAGGCTGAGGCAGAAGGATCACTCGAGCCCAGGAGTTTGAGGTTGCTGTGAGCTAGGCTGACGCCACGGCACTCACTCTAGCCTGGACAGCAAAGTGAGACTCTGTCTCAAAAAAAAAAAAAAAAAAAAAAAAAAAAAAAACAAAAGGTCGGGCTCGGTGGCTCACCCTTGTAATCCTAGCACTCTGGGAGGCCGAGGTAGGTCCATCGCTTGAGGTCAGGAGTTTGAAACCAGCCTGAGCAAGAGGCCCTGTCTCTACTAAAAATGGAAAGAAATTAATTGGCTAACTAAAAATTTATAGAAAAAATTAGCTGGGCATTGTGGTTCGTGCCTGTAGTCCCAGCTACTTGGGAGGCTGAGGCAGCAGGATTGCTTGAGCCCAGGAGTTTGAGGTTGCTATGAGCTAGGCTGACACCACGGCACTCTAGCCCAGGCAATAGAGTGAGACTTTGTCTCAAAAAAAAAAAAAAAAAAAAAACTTGATTGAAGAAGGCCTCAATGAGAAGGTGACGTTTGAGTCAAGACTTGAAGAGGGGCACTAGGCCTCACCGCCTGCCGCGCTCTGCTCACCGCCCCGCGTCCCAGCTTGCCCAGGATCCGCGCCGCGCCTCACAGCCCAGACTTCAACAGACCTCACCAAAATGCCATCTCAAATGGAACATACCATGGAAACCATGATGTTTACATTTCACAGATTTGCTGGGGATAAAGGCTACTTAACAAAGGATGACCTGAGAGTCCTCATGGAAAACGAGTTCCCTAGATTTTTGGAAAATCAGAAAGACCCTCTGGGCTTGGACAAAATAATGAAGGACCTGGACCAGTGCCAAGACGGCAAAGTGGGCTTCCAGAGCTTCTTTTCCCTAATTGCAGACTCACCATTGCTTTGCAATGACTATTTTGACTACACATGAAGCAGAAGGGAAAGAAGTAGGCAGAACTGAGCAATTACTCTACCCTGATAAGAGTTCTCTCAAAGGATTGCTTAAGAACTCTGACCCACAGCTTCTCCCTGTGTAAGGATCTCATGAGCAGATCAGGACCCTTAGAAAATGTACAAATAAAATCCACTTCTGAGCAGAGAAAGAAAAGTTAATTAAATACCAGATAAGCTTTTGATTTTTATATTGTTTGCATCCTCTTGCCCTCAATAAACAAAGTCGTTTTATAGTCCCCCCCCCCAAAAAAAAAAGACTTGAAGAGGTGAGGGACTGAGCCATGAGGATACCTGGAAAAGAGCCTTCCTGGCTAAGTGAACGGCACGTGCAAAGGCCCTGAGGAAGAAATGTGCCTGTTGTGTTCAAGGATCGGCAAAGAGACCCGTGTGGCTGGAGCTGAGGGAATGATGGGGAGAAGAGTGGGAGAAGAGTTAAAGGGTAATAATGGTGAGGAGATGTACGTCATACAGTGCTTGTGGCCCATGAGGCCATGGTAGGGACTTTCGAGTTTCCTCCGAGTGAGACAGGAAGCTGTTGGAAGATTTTGAGCAGAGGGGTACTACTGTCTGACTTAGACTGTAATAGTATCATCCTGGCTGTTGCTGAATTTGGTTGTTAGGGGAACAGCAGGTTGGTGGCATTCTCAATGGGAGGTCATGGTGGCCCAGGGCCAGAGGGTAGTGATAGAACTGGGAGAAGCTGCTCGTGGATTCTGAATTCATTTTGAAAGTAGACCCAATAGGATTTGCTGATAGCCTAGATGGGGGGTATGAGAGAGATTATGTTGTTAAGAAAGACTCTGAGGTTGTTAACCTGACAACCTGTTTAAGATGGTGTTGGCAGTAACTAGATGATGAAGACAGCAGAATGGGACAGTAGGGAGGGGAAGGAAGCCGGAGATCTGTTTTTATCATGTTAGGTTTGAGCTGCCTCCTAGTCCTATAGACATTCAGGTGGGAATGTCAGATAGATGGTTTGGATATATGCGCCCAGAGTTCAGGGGAGAGGTTGGGCCTAGGGATGCAAAGTTGTGAGTTGTCAGCATGTGGATGATACTTAAAGCTTTCACCAAAAAGGGAAATAGTGTAGATGGAGAAGAGAAGCAGGTATCAGGCCTGAGCCCTGGGGCACTCGGTATTGAAGGAGAGGGAGAGGAGGAGGAACAAACAAAGGAGACTTGAGAAGCCATGGACGGTGGGGTAGGAGGGAAAGCAGAGAGCATGGCATCCGGGAATCCAAGGGAAGAAATTGTTTCAGGGAGGAGGGACTGGTCATCAGTGTCAAATGCTTGTTAGCGTGAGACTTGCTTGTTACTTGACATGACTGCTGCATCTTCACTGACAGGGTCTAACATACCCTGGCGTCCAAGACCATCTTTGAGTCTCCTCCTTCCGTCCCTGTCCTCATCTGCTCCTTTCCCTTCCACGTCCTTGACTTCTGAACACACATGATTGTTTGGGCCTTGGGTAAGTCACTTCTGTTTCAGTGTCTCTAATTCCTCATTTTTAAATGGATTACTATGAGAATTAAGTGAGACAGAGGTGTAAATCACTTAGCAAGAGCCTGTTCCCCAGCCCGTGTTGGGGGTGGTTTAGTTGTTCAGTTCCCTGTCTCATTATTCTGGAATCTTGTGGGTCTTCTCCATGTCACTCCAACTCCTGCCCTTCTAAATCTTTTTTTTTTTTTAATTTCAGCATATTATGGGGGTACAAATGTTAAGGTTACATGCATTGCCCATACCCCCCTACCCCCTTGAGTCAGAGCTTCAAGCATGACCATCCCCCTAACATTGCACAACCCACTCATTGTGTTTGTATATACCCATCCCCTCCTCCCTCCTCCCACCTGCCCGACACCTAATAAATGTTTTTCCTATATGTTCACTTAGGTGTTGATCCATTAATACCAATTTGCTGGTGAGTACATGTGGTGCTGGTTTTTCCATTCTTGAGATACTTCACTTAGTAGAATGGGTTCCAGCTCTATCCAGGAAAATACAAGAGGTGCTATATCACCATTGTTTTTTTTTTTTTTTGAGACAGAGTCTCTATTTGTTGCCCAGGGTAGAGTGAGTGCCATGATGTCAGCCTAGCTTACAACAACCTCAAACTCCTGGGCTCAAGCAATCCTGCTGCCTCAGCTTCCCAAGTAGCTGTGACTACAGGCATGCGCCACCATGCCTGGCTAATTTTTTCTATATATATTAATTGGCCAATTAATTTCTTTCTATTTATAGTAGAGACGGGGTCTCGCTCTTGCTCAGGCTGGGTTTGAACTCCTGACCTCAAGCAGTCCACCCGCCTCAGCCTCCCAGAGTGCTGGGATTACAGGTGTGAGCCACCGCGCCGGCCACCATTGTTTTTTAAAGCTGAATAATACTCCATGGTATACATATACCACATTTTATTAATCCACTCATGAATTGATGGGCACTTGGGTTGCAATTGTGAATTGTGCTGCTATAAACATTCGAGTGCACGCCAGCAAATTGGTATTAACGGATCAACACCTAAGCAGACATATAGGAGTAACATTTATCGGGTGTAGGGAGGGTGGGAAGGGGGAGGAGGGGATGGGTATATACAACCACAACGAGTAAGATGTGCAACATTTGGGAGATGGACACGCTTGAAGCCTTTAATCGAGGGGAGAGGGGGCTATGGGCAATATATGTAACCTTAACACTTGTACCCCCATAATACGCTAAAATAAAAAAACAAAAAAAAGCATTCGAGTGCAGGTGTCCCATTTGTAGAGTGTCATTTGATCTTTTGGGTAGATGCCCAGTAGTGGAATTGCTGGATCAAATGGTAGATCTACTTGTATCGCTTTAAGGTATCTCCATATTGCTTTCCACAGAGTCTGAACCAGTTTGCAGTCCCACCAGCAGTGTAGGAGTGTTCCTATCTCTCCACATCCACGCCAACATTTATTGTTTGGGGACTTTTTGATAAAGGCCATTCTCACTGGAGTTAAGTGATATCGCATTGCAGTTTTGATTTGCATTTCCCTGATGATTAGAGATGTTGATCCTGCCCTTCTCAATCTGACCCGTCTTTTCATGTCCAGCCAAGCCCCCTCTTCATCTAATAGAACTTCCTTTGATGCTCCACCCATCTCAAAACCCTCTTTTGCACTTTGGTGGCAGGTATCTGGAGGGCAGGATCACTGCTATTCCCCTGCAGTCCTTTACTTAGCCTCTTGAACCTGTAAGAGCCCAGCCCGAAAAGACTGTCCTTTGCTTACTGTGTGCATTTTCCTGTGTGGGGCGCAGTCCTAGGTCTGGAGCAGATAATGCTCCACATTGTCATCCATGCCACATGAATGACTGTGACACTTGACAGATTTTAAGAAATTGTTCCCATGCCAGGCATGATGGCTCACGCCTGTCCCTAGCACTCTGGGAGGCTGAGGTGGGAGGATTGCTCGAGGTCAGGAGTTTGAGACCACCTGAGCAAGAACAAGACCCTGTTTCTACTAAAAATAGAAAAAAATTAGCCGAACAACTAAAAAAAATCTGTATAGAAAAAATTTAGCCAGGCATGGTGGCGTATGCCTGTAGTCCCAGCTACTTGGGAGGGCTGAAGCAGGAGGATTGCTTGAGCCCAGGAGTTTGAGGTTGCTGTGAGCTAGGCTGACGCCATGGCACTCTAGCCCAGGCAACAGAGTGAGACTCTGTCTCAAAAAAACAAACAAAAAAAGAAATCGTTCCCATTGGACAGGTGGGAACACAGATCACAAGGGGCCTCATTGTGTAGTCCATGGCCTCTTTCTCCTCATCTTGATTAATTTAAGTATTATTCAGAAGAAGCCCTTATGAATTTTTTTCCAAATCTAGAGAAACTTTCCTTTTACTTGGCAGCAGATCTTTCTACACATTACTGCCTGTAGATTACTTGAGAACTAGCACCTGATTCTAGAATGAGGTTCTAGAGACTCAGTGCTGATATAAGAACATTTGCCTGTGGCATTTGTCTGCCTTGAGTTTCTTTTCATTTTGAGACCTTTAATTGCTAGGGGGCCTCAGGAGATTGATTTTGACTAATCCATTTTTATCCAAATCCCAGGAGACCCATAACTTGGCAGGTTCACCCAGGCAGGCTTTCAGGAGGCACATGATCAAACCTGACATTTCCTGTTGTCCCAACTGGATGGACTGGCCCTAAAATAACCTGTAATTCAACATCCAAGGGACTCTGCAGAGATGTGTGGCAACCCATTTCACATACTCTTTAGCCTAGAGTGTGTGTGTTTCTGCCAGGGCTTTATTCAGAGAGGAGTGGGATGTGTGTGACTTCATGGTGGGGAGAGTGTTGGCACTATCATTTTCTAGTTGTGTGACTCTAAACAAATGCCTTGACCTCTTTGGGCTTCAGTTTCCTCATCTATAAACTTATGATATTATTAAAACCTTTTTCACAGGTTATTGTGAGGACTAAGTTGAAAGCTCTTTACGTAGTGTCTGGCCCAAAGAGCTTATCCACTTGCTATTACTATTTCCATTGCCATCTTTGTTCTGAATTTCATGCTGAGCCTGGAGAAGAACACAGCTTATTTTCTCATAGTTATTGAACTGACTTGAAAGAACCTGTCTGGCTGAGTTCAATGACCACATTGTCTCAGAGAGAAAGTCTGAAATCTAGTTTCTCTACTGCTGATTCACCTTTTAATCTTCAAGCTGGTCTTAACCTGTTTCCCTGTCTGTAAAGTAAACGTTAGTACTTTCCTATAAGGACCCTTTTCCTTTTTAAGAGGAATCTGTTCAGACAGGTGAGGAGTGGTGAGTAGAACAATCATCTCTATCCAACTCTAAGCTTCATGGGGGCAGGTACACAGTCCAAGACATGGCACAGAGTAGGGGAATATTTGTGAAATCAGTCAGCCTCTGCCCTTCAGACAGAATGGAAACAGCAAAACACATGGAATTAACAAAGTTTGGCTTTTCTGTCCCTGATGAAGAAACAGTGGCACCACCCCAGCCCCTTTTATATATTCTTTTCCTAACTTAGTCTTGACTGACCTTGAACTAATGTGTACCTTGGAAGAGGTCTCTGAACAGCTCTTCATTCATCAGAGAAGGATTTAACAGTAATAGTTTCAGCACTAAAGTTGGAAGCCACCAACATAGACCTCAGAGATTGGTTTTCTCTGCCCGAATATTCTTAAATCCAGATATGGGACATGGCAGCTGGATCAGACCTTGTCAAATGTCTCTCCCTTTTTCCTTTCGAAAGCTTCTTCTTTGGCTCATCTCACAACACCAATGATCTCCCTCATTAATTCACTGAATGTTGATGGCATGCAATGCATTGTGTGAGTGCCACCACCTCCACACTTCCCGTCTAATTGGAGAGCATGGGCTGCTTGGCCATGAACCACTGCCCTTAGACTAGAAAGTCTTTCCCTTGACCATTAGTTGGCCATTGGGGAATTAAAACACTTTCTCTTTTGCCTTGTTACTGTTTTCCTTCGTATTGAAGACCTAATAAAGTTTGCTTTCCTTAGCCATGTTCTGAATCTGTTCTTTTTTTCCCCTTGGAAAAATTTTGTGTCATACTCTTAGAATAGTCATATTCTACTTCCTCTTGTTGGACACCTGGGAAGAACACCTCGTGGTGGGGAAATAGGTGTCCCTCATCCAACAGAGAATCATAGAATGTGAGATATGGGAGGGACTTTGTCATTTAGTAGCCTAGTTTTCGAACTTTGTTCCATGGAACCATGGATTGCCTAAAGGGCCCCTGGCAAGAAGGGGGCTAGATAGGCGTAGTCAGATGACCCACGCTCTAGGTCTCCTACCCTCACTTCCACCAGAACAGTTCACTTTTATTTGTTTTAAACAGTTTAAGAGTGGGGAACAGCTTGAAAAGCCATTGTTTAGTTGAATTCTCTTGTTTGACAGTTGGAGAAAGTAAGGCCCAGAGATTGGAAGATTTGCCCAGGGTCATGGAGCTGTTGGTAGCAAAGCCAGATCTTCTGGCAGCCATCTTGCCATGTTTGTTGAAAGTTAACTGCAAAACCTTATGTTCCAGGTTTGCCCAGTCATCACTGTCTGGCACTCATTGTGGAGCTTTCTCATCGTGATCTGTCATGGGCCCTTGGTTTTGTAGCTTCTCTGTGAACTTATCTTTTCATTCATTTTGCCAGCAAAGATTTAGTGAGCTCCTAGAATGTGCCGGGCATAGTGGCCCGGGGTTGATTGCATTAAACAGGAAAGATCCCAAATTAGAGGCTTGAAAAGGTCTGCAGAGAAGTCTGAGATACAATTGAGTCTAATGTCAGGGGGCCTCTGTCTCTTTGGGTCCAGAGCAGGCTTTTTTGGGGCAGCAGTGTTTTCAGCTGAGACTGAAGAAGGAGCATGGGTGGGAAGGGTATTTTGGGTACATGTACTATTTTTTTAAAACTGCGTTATGTTCCAAAGAGCTAATAAATGCACAGAGAACAAAATGCCAAGTTATAAAACTTTACCAATGATGAAAAATCAGTTTCTCACTCCATTCCTTAGTCACTTAGATTTAAGTTTATTTTATTAGCTTAAAACACAGGAAGCTATTCTATATTTCTTTTTCTTTTCTTTCTTTTTTTTTTTTTTTTTTTTGAGAGAGGGTCTCACCATGTTGGTCGTGAACTCCTGTGCTCAAGTGATCCTCTTGCCTCAGTCTCCCAAATAGCTGGAACTACAGGTGTGTGCCGCCATGCCTGGCTACTTTTTTTTTTTTTTTTTTTTGTAGAAATGAGGTCTTACTGTGTTGCTCAGGTTGGTCTCAAACTCTTGGCCTCAAGCAGTCCTCCTGCCTCAGCCTCCCAAAGTATTGGGATTATAGGTGTGAGCTGCTGTGCTTGGCCAAAATATTTTGTAAGTTTTCTTTTCTTCCTCTTTTTCCTAAGACCTCATTTTGCCTCTCTTAGATTATATTACATCCTGTCCCTGGCCAGTGTTTCAGTGAGTCTCACCTAGGGCTTCCTTATAATTCTAGAAAACATAAATGAAAATGACTGTATTTCAGGCTTTATTACTCAATGTTAAGTTAGTCTTCTTTAAGTCCAAAAATGGAGTTAACAGGAACTGGTTCTGGACATGACATCAAAGGCATACTCTTCTGAGTATGGGTGTGAGAAGGTAGACTTAAAGGGGGACAGCAGCACTGGTTCCTCAAGGGCAAAACCAGTTGTTCCAGGTATGCTCCTCTTTTAATTTTGACCATGCCATCACTTTGAGGCATTCCCTGGCCTATAAATGCTGAAATTGAGCAGGGTCCCAGCCCACAGTGCTGTCTCCTTAGCAAAAGTGACTCATCATACTGGCCAGAGCAGTTTCTGGACCAAAAATTGCCTGTAATTACTGCTCTTTTTTTTTTTTTTTTTCTCGCCCTGCCACTTCCAAAGATGGACTCCAAACCCTAAGTTTTTCTTGCCTAAATTGGTTGGCTGCTTTCAAATGTGACCCATGTACCTGATGAGGTACATCAAAGAACAAAGTCTTATTCCCTTTTTCCTCCATGGGGTAGGGATGCAGTGTATGGCAACAGTCAACAGTGCCAGGAAAAGCACCAGTTTTTCCCACAGCATCTGCAAGTCTGAGCCCCTTCAGGACTGAACTGTAGAGTTTTTTTCCATTCCTGCAGAGAAAATGAAAAATCTCTACTGCACTAACATCCAAGAGGCAGTGCAAGACCTAGTACCAGCACACGGACACTTGTAATAGAGAAAGCTCCCAAGGAGATAGCCACCCTCAGTAGATTAATAGCTGTAGGTGATCTTTCACAGTGAAGTGAGGTGTTTTGTTTTTTTTTAATCTGTGCTTTGGGGTGGCTTTCCAAAATGTTTCACTTCTCCCCATGTCCCCTTCCTCCTCTGATTTCCTGAGTATGAAACAACTTCAGAAGGATAGGGTTTCTGCATCATCATTCCCCTTGGGCCCTCTGCAGAGGGATATGCGAAATAGATACTGCAGACAAAAGCAGCAGCCAGCGCCAGCGCCAGCGCCCTGGGTGGCACTTTGAGTTTATGAGTAGTTGCTTAATGCCTGTAAAAGGAAATGTCATCAAAAGCTCAATGCTGTAGAGGTATCAGCAACTGTGGCAGTTCGACTAGCTAAACCTGCAGCACTATCACTTTTTTTTTTATTGAGACAGAGTCTTGCTCTGCCACCCTGGGTAGAGTACAGTGGTGTCATCGTAGCTCACTGCAACCTCAAACTCCTGGGTTCAAGCGATCCTCCTGCCTCAGCCTCCAGAGTAGCTGGGACTATAGAGACAGGGTCTTGCTCTTGTTCAGGCTGATCTCGAACTCCTGAGCTCAAGCAGTCCTCCTGCCTCAGCTTCCCAGAGTGCTACCATGCCCTACCTTCTATCACTTTTTTTTAATCCCCAAGAAAGAAGCTTTTCCACCCCTTCCTCCTCCTGGTCAATTACATATGACACAGAGCTGTCACCAGCAGGTTGTGTCCTCAGGTGTTGTATTGTGCCTGCAGGAGGGGACAGCCTCCTCTTTTAGAGATGAAAGTCTGAGCAGCTCTGAAGTTTGACATCTAATGTTCTTTTTGTTTGTTTACTTTTATTTGTTTATGTGTTACTTTCTATGGTTCTTTGTGGCCTATGCGTTTTAGCCCCTTTGCCTTCAGTTATCCCTCTTCTTAGATTCCGTTTAACTTTGAGAAAGGTATTCTCCTATTTTAGACACTGTTGCCAGTTATGCTCTCAAGTCTGTGGCTGCTGGAACCGTGAAGATTTTTATTGCATGGCAGAAATCCCATAATCTAATTTACCTGCTCCTTCTCAGAGCTCCAAAAAGGACCTCCAGGTTGGTGAGGTTTCTCTGATAAAATGACTTTATATGTGTGCAAAAAAGATTCTTTTGAGTGTAAGTAAATTCCTCTTGGAAACAAATGCTAACTAGTTATGTAACAGAGTTGTCAGAGAGCAGGCTGAGGCTCCCTGGGATTTTCAGTGGCCCCTTTTCATTTCTTTCAACAATTATCGATTGAACACTCTCCATGCAGAGCACTGGGCAAGGCATGAAGGGAAGGGCGAACGGAGCTGCATGCCAGCCGTGTGGGTCCTCCCTCTGTGGGTCTTTCTACAGCCCTGCCTCATGCAGCGAGGACCGGCCAGTCAGAGTCCTCCCTGCAGGGCTTGCATCATCAGACTCAGCCGTCTCTTCTCTTTCCCGCAGCTCCCATAGAAAAATACCATCCTCCTCTTTCAACTTTGCAAAGCAAGAGGCAAGTAGAATTGTGTCTTTTTTCTTTATGCTGTTTTGTCAGTGAAGCCTTTATTCCTTTATTCCAATGGGATCAACAAAGGATTTAAGGCAACCCTGAGACAGTACATATTTGTTTCCCATTGATTACTGAAACAAAATCTCTGGGTGTCTCTCAGTTGGGCAACATCCCCAATGCCATCCTGCCACAGATACAAGCTGAATCTGGAAAAATACAATTGGGCCAGAAAGGGGCTGTGTTGGCTTGGTTTCTAGAGACTGAAACAATCTCTCATCCTTCACATCTGTTGCACCAATAACCTTCATCTCGCCCCTGCATTGTAATGAATTGAAAGTTGTTGTTGATGGGTTACTTTTTGAGTTCTTTCCTTAGAGGCAACAGAAGGGACAAAGTGAAGTAAGTTTTCTACATTCAAATAAATGTCTGTGTTTTGGGTTGTGTGGTTTTCTGTTCCTAATTAAACTACAGGTAGGATTGGAAGGTTACACTTAAAGGTCTCAAAGTTTTTTGGACTGAGTCCTTAGCTGCTATCAGGGATCTGTCCTTCCTCTTGGGGGAGAAGCAGAATTCCTTCACTGATGGAGCACAGGTGCTGGGCTCAGGTAGGGCTGAGATGATCTCCTAGCCCAGCCAGTTACAAGCCACATGACCTTGGTCAAGTTACCTAATGTCCCTGAGCCTGTTTCCTCATCTGTAAGATGGAGTTAAAAGCAGTTACATTATTGGTAAGATTAAATGAGATATGTATGGAAAGCCCCTGCGTTTAATAGGGGTTCAGAAAATGATAGCTTCTTAATAAATCTTAGAACAATCTCAGAAGCTTTGGCCATGTACCAGGTGACTTGGTTCCTGTGTATCTTCTTTTTTCTTTCATCTGTTGACCAAGAGAAACTACTGAGGTTCATAGTAGATGCTCAATAAATGCTTGTTGAATGAACTAGGGAGCCTTAGTACTTTCTTTATTCTACTGCTTTAGATTAGTACTTTGCAATGTGAGTTTTGTACTAGGAGATGTCCTGAGAGATGCTTTGAGAAAACTGGCCAGATTTAGGGAATGTTGTAGATAGAGTCTACAGTGTATAGATTCTATTCCTCTCCAGAGATGAATAGTACATATCACTGTTTTAGAAGCTCAGAACTAAGTTGTAGGTAGAGAGAATTCTCCCTAGCCTTGGCATTTTCCAAGCACATTTGCCTATATAGGGTAATGATAGTACCTCCATGATGCTGTGATGAGGTTTTTAATGAGTTAACATGTGCAAAGCATTTAGCACAGTGCTGGGCTCCTCTAACTACGACTATTAAGTGTTTTTTAATCTGCGGGCTCTTCTAGAGTATTTAACCATTCCCTTATCAATGGGCATTTAAGTTATTTTCAGTGGCACATTGTCATAGTGCTACAGTATAATCTTTATGCTCTTGTGCATATATTTCTGTGGGAGAGATTCCTAGAAGTACAATTGCTGGGTCAAAAGATATGCACACTCAAACATTTGATAGATCCCTCAGAATTACCTTCTAAAATCTGATCAGCCAGGACCTAACAGTTCATTTGCCCATAAAGAGATAAGCAGCTATCTTCCCATACTGCATGTGTGTTGGATCCTCCTCCTTCCTCTTGCGAACCATAACTGAAAATGGAATGGAACACAACTGAAAGTCCCCTCTGTCTTCTGTCTTACAGAATCTGGCCACAAATAAGGGACCAAAATGACTGACTCAAAGTATTTCACCACGACCAAGAAAGGTATTGTTTGTTTCATTATGGGCCTTGTCCTGCTTTTTCAGTGCCTGACCCTTTTGCTTGCTTCCTGTAGGGGTGGAGAGAGGGGGTGGGGGTACAGGCCTGGAGGCAGAGGTGAGAATGGCCTAAGGCTTCATTACCTGTAGATCCATAAAATTGAACTGTTGATGGTATAAGAAATTGATTCTTCCTTTTAGAACTCAGGAAGGGGAAGAGCATTAGTTCCAAGTATGGAAAAAAGTCCCTTTTTGTTCTCCATGGCTTAATTATGCTTTTGGTTGGCTGAGGTGGCTAAGGCCTATAATCTCAATACTTTGGGAGGCCAAGGTGGAAGGATTGCTTGAGGCCAGGAGTTTAAGGACCAGCCTGGACAATATATCAAAACCCCTTTCTTGGCCAGGCGCAGTGTCTCACGCCTGTAATCCTAGTACTCTGGGAGGCTGAGGTGGGCGGATTGCTCGAGGTCGGGAGTTCGAAACGAGCCTGAGCAAGAGCAAGACCCCGTCTCTACTATAAATAGAAACAAATTAATTGGCCAATTAATATATATAGAAAAAATTAGCAGGGCATGGTGGCACATGCCTGTAGTCCCAGCTACTGGGGAGGCTGAGGCAGCAGGATTGCTTGAGCCCAGGAGTTTGAGGTTGCTGTGAGCTAGGCTGACGCCACGGCACTCACTGTAGCCTGGACAACAAAGCGAGACTCTGTCTCAAAAAAAAAATAAAAAGAAACCCCTTTCTCAACAAAAAATAAGAAAAATTAACCAGGCATGGTGGCATGCATCTGTAATCCCAACTTTTGAGGAGGCTGAGGCAGGAAGATTGCTTGAGCTCAGGAGTTCAGGGTTCCAGTGAGCTGTGATAGCACCACTGCACTCCTCCTTGGGCAATAGAGCAAGATGCTGTCTCTTTAAAAAAAAAAAGATTGTTTTTTTCCTGGGGGAAAGAAAACACACAATCCTGTCAGCAACCCCATAGCAGTGTGTGTGTGTGTGTGTGTGTGTGTGTGTGTGCGCGCGCGCACGCACACATGTGCCTAATCCTTATCCATGAGCACATGTTTTTGTTTTTCAGGGTTGTAGCCAGAGTTCTCATCCTGTTTTTCATTTGATATTATCATAAACATTCCCAACAGTTCTAATGACTCAATATTAAGTCTGTTGAGTGGCTGCACAGAAATTTGCTAAGCTAGGCTTATGTCATTGGGTATTTTAGTTGTTTCTGCTTTTAAGGAAATGGAGGATATTGTCGTGGCTGGCAAATTTGGTTTCTCTCTGTTGTAAGCATCTTTCTGACCAGCTTTTCCTTCCTGCCTCCTTCCTTCCAAGTGAGATTAACACATGCCTGCTGACCAGATGAAAAGAGTCTGTAGTTGGATCAACTGAGCCAGGACCTGAAGTTTGCCCCTCATCAGGTGTTTCATTTATTGGCCTGGCTGGTTTTCACTGAGCCCCTGCCACGTGCAGTGGAAGAGACAGACAGAGTCTCTGATCTGGCATTGCTCAAAGTTGAGCAGGGAAGACAGTCTATTAGGTAGTAACCACACTAAAGGGTAGTGGCTGCAGAGGACTGTAGGAGAACTCCAGGAGGGGCTGGCCAGATAAAGAGGGCTGTGAGGAAGGGAGAAGCAAGGGATCTGTTTGTGGTACATTCAGGGAAAGGAAAATAGTTGGGACTGAATTACTGAGGAGTGTGATGCAAGAAGAGGTTGACGAGATAAGCAGAGATCAGTCATGTGGAGCCTGGTGAGCCAGGCCAGGGACTGAACTTAGTGCTGGGTGTATTGAAATGTCAGTGGTGGAGGATTTTTGTGGGTTTTCTTTTGGGGAGAGTGTCTGGGGAGAGAGGCCTGGGTTCGACACCCTAGAAAAAGGAGAGAGTACAGACGAGGAAACAGGTTCAGAGAAGCAAAGTGAGTGTCCTGGCTAGGCTCAAGCACAGGGATTTAGAGCACGTGCTTTGGAGCTAGCAGACCTGGTTTTGACTCTGGGCCCTACCACCTACTAGTTGTGTAAGTTATCGAGCCCCTACGGCCTCCATTTGCTTGTCTGAAAAATGGGGGGAAATGCAGAGTTATAATGATGAAATGAGACAGTAGGGGGGAAATTTACTGTGATGCTGGGGTTAGGGAAAGGTTCAGGAAGTTAAAATCTTCCCTCCTAGCCTGTCTCAGGGTCCTCACTATCTCTCCATGACAGGGCCCTGAACAATGCTACTTCCTCATTTGCTTTTTCGAGATCATCAAATTCTTGAGAACAATTCATGACATGTTTGAGCCCTCGTGAAGTAGCTGAATCCCCATTTTCAGAGCTGAGCAACCACTTTTGACTCAGGAAGTGAAACCCTGAGCAAGCTCTTGTAACTAGAGGTTCTAGGAAAACAGGAAAAACCTATGTGTGGCGATCGGTCCAATCCTGCCCTCTCCCCACAAACCTAAAGTACCCAGATTCCATCGCACTTGCTGTCAAGGACCTTTGGCTGAGTGAGGGTAGCTGAAGAGAGCCTTGCCTTCCTGTTTTTTTTTTTGTTTTTTTTTTGAGACAGAGTCTCACTCTGTTGCCTGGGCTAGAGTGCTGTGGCGTCAGCCTAGCTCATAGCAACCTCAAACTCCTGGGCTCAAGCAATCCTTCTGCCTCAGCCTCCCGAGTAGCTGGGACTACAGGCATGCGCCACCATGCCCGGCTAATTTTTTCTATATATTTTTAGTTGGCCAATTAATTTCTTTCTGTTTATAGTAGAGATGGGGTCTCACTCTTGCTCAGGCTGGTTTCGAACTCCTGACCTCGAGCAATCCGCCCGCCTCAGCCTCCCAGAATGCTAGGATTATAGGCGTGGGCCACCTCGCCCGGCCTGGGGACATTTTTTGATTTTCACATCGGGGAATGGTACTGGCATGTCGAGCGGGTAAGGCCACAGATGCTGATCAGTATGCTACAATGAACAGCGTGGCCTCTTTAACAAGGAACTTTCAGGCCCAAAATGACAATAGTGACAAGGTTGAGAAGCCTTGGCTTAACCTAACCAGGAGCAGCAGGTTGGGTTAGGCTGACTTGGGACTTCTTAACCTGCACATTGGATGGTTTTAGAGTCCACAGAACCCTCCTGAAATGGGTTGTAAGATTTTGCGTGTCTGTGTGCATTTTTCCTGGGGACGGAGTCCATAGCTCTAGTCCAATTCCGTGAGGTTGGAGAACTCCGAGATGGTAAGGACTGTTGAACTTTGCATCAACAGTGAGGCCTAGGGGAGGAGTTTATCAGAGTCACTCCAAATGCCATGCAGCCCGTTTCCCTCCTCCCGTGAGAGTGACTGCAACAGTAAGTCTTTTCCCAAAACAAAGGGTCTGATTCCAGGGTAGGCTGGAACTGAAAAACAGTTGAACACTACAGAGTCTGAGGAGTTCTCTGGAACAATCCCCTCCTCGTCAGAGGCAGCTGAGTAAGGGAGCCCTGCAGCTCTAGGGATTGGCCTCCTTAGTTCTCCTCCCAGCCTTGTTGGTCCAACGGCTCACTCAGCAATCAGGACTTGGCAGCAGCAACTAACTGTTGAGTATCCATGTGTTACCTCAGGCCCGTTGCTATGAGCGGGGATATGCAGAGACTAAAGCTTCTCGTCTGTAGTTACTTGAGAACTAGCACCTGATTTAGAATGAGGTTTCAGAGACTCAGTGCTGGTATAAGAACATTGCCTGTGGCATTTGTCTGCCTTGAGTGTTCTTTCATTTGAGAACTTTAATTGCCTAGGGGCTCAAGGGATTGATTTGACTAATCCATTTTATCAAATCCCAGGAGGATCCCAAACTTGGCAGGTTCACCCAGGCAGGCTTTCAGGAGGCACATGATCAAACCTGACATTTCCTGTTGGTCCAAACTGGTGGACTGGCCCAAATACCTGTAATTCAACATCCAAGGGGGACTCTGCAAGAAGTGTGTGGCAACCATTTAATACTCTTAGGCCAGAGGTGTTGTTCTGGCCAGGGCTTTTTCGAGGGGTGATGGTGTGACTTCATGGTGGGGGGAGAGTGTTGGCACTATTCATTTTCTAGTTGCTGTGGCACTCTAAAAAATGCCTACTGTCTTGGGCTCAGTTCTCATCTTAAATTATGGATTTATTAAACCTTTTCACAGGTATTGGTGGACTAATGAAGCGTCGTTACGTCAGCTCGTCGGGCCCAAAGAGCTTATCCTTGTATTAGGCTATTTCCATTGCCATCTTTGTTCTGAATTCATGTGGTGCCTGGAGAAGACACCAGCTTTTTTTCATATATTGACTGACTTATAAAGACACCTGTCCTGGCTGAGTTTCAGATGACCACATTGTTCCAGGAAAGTCTGAAAATCTTAGTTTCTTACTGCTGATCACCTTTTAATCTTCAAGCTGGTTTACCTGTTTCCCGTCTGTAAAGTAACGTTAGTACTTTCCTAAGGACTTTCCTTTTTAAGAAGAATCTTTCAGACAGGTGAGATGGTGATTAGACAATCATCACTATTCCACTCTTAAGGCTCATGGTGTAGGGTAACAGGTCCAAGACATGGCAGAGGTAGGAATCATTTGTGAAATCAGTCAAGCTCTGCCTTCAGACAGGATGGAAACGCAAAACACATGGAATTTAACAACAGTTGCTTTTCTGTCCTGATTGAAGAACGTGGCCCACCCAGCCCTTTATATATTCTTTTCTAACTTAGCTTGACTGACTGAACAATGTGTACCTGGGAAAGGCTCTAAACAAGTCTTCATTCATCGAGAGATTTAACAGTAATGTTTTCAGCACTAAAGTTAACGCCACAAAACATAGCCTCAGAGGATTGGTTTCTCTGCCCGAATATTTCTTTAAATCGATATGGTGACATGGCAGCTGGATCAGACCTTGCAAAATGTCTCTCCCTTTTTCTTTCGAAAGCTTTTCTTTGGCCATCTCACAACACATGATCTCCCTCATTAATTCACTGGGAATGTTGATGGGCTGCAACTGATTGTGTGAGTGCCACCACCTCCACAACTTCCCG